CGTTCTCCCTCCATTCTCCATCGTTCTCCCTCCATTCTCCATCGTTCTCCCTCCATTCTCCATCGTTCTCCCTCCATTCTCCATCGTTCTCCCTCCATTCTGCATCGTTCTCCCTCCATTCTCCATCGTTCTCCCTCCATTCTCCATCGTTCTCCATCGTTCTCCCTCCATTCTCCATCGTTCTCCATCGTTTTCCCTCCATTCTCCATCGTTCTCCATCGTTCTCCCTCCATTCTCCATCGTTCTCCATCGTTTTCCCTCCATTCTGCATCGTTCTCCCTCCATTCTCCATCGTTCTCCCTCCATTTTGCATCGTTCTCCCTCCATTCTGCATCGTTCTCCCTCCATTCTGCATCGTTTTCCCTCCATTCTCCATCGTTCTCCATCGTTCTCCCTCCATTCTCCATCTTTCTCCATCGTTCTCCCTCCATTCTCCATCATTCTCCATCGTTCTTCGTCGTTCTCCATCGTTCTCCACCTCAGAGAGGTGTGCAGTTCAAGGGGGCTGGGAATTTGGAGCGTTCTTCTGCTGACCGCCTTTTCTCTGTCTCCATGTCAGACGGAGGAGATCAAGAAGCTGGGGAGCAGCGACCGGTCCAGCTTTGCTCAGAACGGCGTCTACATTGGCGGGACGAGGTGCAGACTGATCAGGGACCAGATGGACATGGACCCCGTCTACGCTCTGGACCTGAAGACCGCTGCTGACGCTGAGGGCAACACTTTCAACGTCTGTGTGGGGAAGAGCGTAACAGGTGAGACGGACTGGAAGGACGGCAAGTAAAGAGACGCCTTTGATTCCTCTTCTGGTGTTTGACTCTTTATGTCTCCCCCTCTGTCCTCCCCCTCTGTCCTCCCCCTCTGTCCTCCCCCTCTGTCCTCCCCCTCTGTCCTCCCCCTCTGTCCCACAGCTATAGTCATAGTTAAGGGCACAAAAGACGCCAGCGGTGGACAGCTGTCCAGCAAGGCCTTCAGCGTAGTCAGCTACCTAAGGAAGTCCAACATGTGAATCCAACATGGCCGCCGCCTCCCCCCTCCTCCAAATTCTGATGGACGACCCCTCCCTCACCCGTGTCTCCCCCAGCGTCCCCCCTGGGCTCCGGTTGTCTGCGGCGTCCCCCCCACCATCAGGGATCAAAGTGTTTTCCTCCATGTAACTAGAATCAGTGACTGCGTGTGCGGCGGCGGGTCACATGACCTCGCCGCCGCACACGCGTGTTCTTAGACAGGGAGCCAGTGTTACATGTTTCACTGCATCACACGCATGAAAGAAATAAAGACAGATCTGTTTACGTCACCCGTTGTCATGGTTTCTGTTCTACACACAAGTACACGCCTGCTGAAATACTACTACAAACTACTACGATACTACATAATACTACATAATATATAACAACATGATAGTACTTCTATGTTCTACTGCTGGCCCAAAGAAAGGACGGAGGAAGTAGTACCTCCAGCAGTACTACATCCACTACTTTCAATACTAACAAGTATGTGAAGCTGTCTCTCAGTAGTACTACAGAGTACTTTCAGCTATCTCTCAATAGTACTACAGAGTACTTTC